AGTAGAGCCTCTTTCCCCACTGGCAATGGATTCTACAGCCTTCTTACCCTTCAAAGTAAGAACTTTTCGAGGTTTCTTTTGGACTGTTGACAAGCCTGTCTCGTCCGCGTTGAAAACTCGAGTTGCATCGAGTTTATTCTCGTCAACAATCCTCTCTAATAAGTCAAAAAAATGGTTAACATTCTCTTTATTGAATCCTTTAGCCCGAGCAAAGGATGTCAACTCTGGTTGACGCAAACTGAGCTCAGGATGTCTTCTCATAAAGGAATAATACCACTTCTTGCCAGCTATTTTTTTCTCTTGACTGAAGCGGTGTGGAATTTGATTTCTTTCTGCGATATCGAAAGCTAGGATGCGCAACTCCAGAGGTGTTATCCCAAACAAAAATTCCTCAAGTTTAATGACATGGGACACCAGTTCTTGTTGCACTTCTTCGGGCAGGTCACCCGTGCTACCTATTATTTTTTATGCTCCACTGCAAAACAGTTTGTTCCCTTTAAACGTCTCTGCAACGTTGCCCTCGGAACATCATATGTTCTGGCAGCCTCATTCACGCCCATGTCACCATTTCGCACTGAATCAAGTGCACGACTCATATCATCTTCCTCCCATTTACCATATTTCACTCCTAGCAGCATCTAGGATAAAAAAACATAGATATAGCCTACACTATGCATGTTTCTTAATCTATTAATTGGCCAGATAAAACTCTAAAACTACAAATAGGCGTAAATTACGCATGAAATAATGAAAATCATTACGATAATTGCAATAAAATATTCATTTTACACACGAATGAGGGATATTTAGATTTAGATTAATATAATTATTTTTATAATAAAGAAAATGAGATCATTATATAATTATAGATTTAATTACTCCTGATAGCTTTTTACTCAATCAGATACGACATTTTATTGTACAACTCGAAAAAATTGCAAAAATATTAGCCTCGATATGGTTTCCATGGTTGGGCCACCAGCCCATTCATAGCAACTCAGGCTGGCCCATTGAAGGCAACTAGCAGACGGTATGTAATACGTCCGTGACTTCGGTTATAACAAAGTAAACTTCCATTGTTAATGTGGCTAAATAACGCTGATTTAACACAGTCTTAAATATTATCAGTAACAACTAAAACACTATTAACGTCTCACTGATATCCATATTTTGTTGACATTGAAGAATTTGAAGAAAAGTACAAAAATCTTACCTTCTTGTGTAGGAACCTTGTTTGTGCGTGGATCAACTCACAGTCAAGATGGCGATTTTCAAGCTTCATGTATTACACTAAACAGTCACTAGGTAGAGCCTACTGTCAATAGCTACAATATAATGGAGGTGGCTCATCGAAGGAGCCGGCCCATTGATAGCAACCTTACCCTATTTCCCAGAATTTTATGGAACTCGAAGTTCATTACCGTGTCCACAAGAGCCCTCCACTGGTCCCTATCCTGAGCCACATAGATCAAGTACGTACCACCCCCTTCTATCTCTGTAAGGTCCATTTTCATATTGTCTACCCACCTATGCCTTGGTCTTCCTAGTGGTTTCTTTCCTTCTGGCTTTCCCACCAGTATCCTATATGAATTCTTCTCCTCACTATTCGTGCTACATGCCATGCCTATCTCATCCACCTTCAATTGTTCATTATTATGTAACATACCGTCTCATTAATTATGAACAGACGTGTATGTTATTGATATCAATTATTCATTAACTTGTATTTATTACTGTTATTTCCCCGCCGATAAAAATGCTCGTACGCTTCATGTCGCCAACCCCCCCCCCAATAGGACTAATTGCCAACTTAGTCCAGTCACGAGAACAAACGTTCAGCACCAAAGGAAAGCCCGATTGATGCAGATAGGTCAGCTCTCAGCAACAACCAATTATAAGCCGTTCACAAAAATTATTTCAGTTGACCTGTAGTAGGTGATGCAGTTCATTTGCTCCCCACTCTCGGAAACATTCATAGCTGACACATTCGGAAACAAACTTGAAAACCATGGCGATAAAACAGGCCTGTGTTATGGAGAATTCCGGAAAGGAAACGCATAGCAGCCAGTGTTACAGTATGCTCACACATAATTCTAATAATGACGGCATCATATTCCTTTTTCAGAAAATATATTGAAAGATTCAAGGCCAAGTATAAATGAACAGCTTCCAAATATTTAACGTGACCGGACTGTATATTTTATTAAAACGGGGCCCGATGTGAAATAAAGCTTATATATTACGAAGCCGAGCGCTCTAAGGCATGAATTACCTTCCCTCGATCCAACGCTGGGATCGTGGTTTCGAATCCCACTCAAGGCATGGATATCTGTGTTGTGTGCGTTTATTTTGTGTTTGTGTTATTCTGAGTGCAGGTAACGGCCTTGCGACGGGCTGATCCCCCGTCTAAGGTGTCCTACCGACTGTGTATAGAATCAAGAAACTGAAAAAGAGGCCAAAGCCCAAGAAAGGGCTGTACAGCCATAATGATACTATTACGAAGCTGCCACAGTCTCGCCAGAACGTTACGCAGAGCATTTTTCTGCTCCAATTCCGTTACTGTAACATGAAATATTGAAACGAAAGCTTCACATGATGCTTTTAGATTTAACCCCTCAAAACACAGTGATTACCAAAAGTAGATGCTCCGGTCTAGAAAACCAAAATTAACTGCCGTGAAGATTTTTTATTGTAAAAAAATATTGTAAATGCCCATCGTTGAGCTGACCACGCGACACCCTCTATCAGCTAAAGTTGGCACTAACTTCGCCGACAAGAGGCGGTCGCTTGGTCGGTATAGTTCTCTTGAGGACTAAAGCCACACAGTTTGTTTTGTTTGTTTGTTATACCCAATGGTTACTATACATACCACTTGCATTACCATATTACAACTCTGCATTCTGCCCACCGAGTGTATTTGCGCGTTTCATGTGGGTATTAGAGTACGCAGCAGTTATCCTAAACAGCATTAACCTGCTGACCTTCGTAGCGGATACGTAGTGTGTTTTCTGAGAGGTACGAACTGAATTACTGTCTACCATTTAGAAGAAACTCTGTCTTTAAAGTCTCCATTATATTTCAGATGTTGTCTGCCATTTAGTACAGACTGAATTTCTCCGTTTTATGGTTGACATTCCCCCTTCGCAAGTGAGCGGCAACGGGTTTGAATCTCTGTTCGGATACCTTGACTGACATTTTTTGTAGTTTTTCTCGTCCCCACTAACAGATATCTTAATGACGACCCAACTTCAGTCACATTTAGCGACCGTCGATGCATAAAACAGATGAAATGGGACTAAACTTAAATTAAGTTGCATTTGAACAGGAATATTTCGCTCACAACATGTACAGTATAACCGTTATATCGTCATGACATGGTCCTCAGAGCCTTTTTCGTGATAAAGGTCAGCAACAAGTGAAAGTGAGGACCGCATTGAGAAAGAGAGACTTCAGGTTGCCTCTGACGTCCTTCCTCAGGTTAAGTAAGTAAATTTGACAATAATAATAATAATGTCAGGTCCCATAAAAAATATAAAAATCAGAAACAGTCATTCAATTGAAATCGGATTCATATCTGTGGTACAGAGAAACACAATTCATCATCACTGGCACAGGCAGGTGCAAAACCTTCTTTCGACACACTCTAATATGATTGGACAGAAATAATTGTTGCGTTGCCATCAGCAGTTTTCATTACTATTGGTCCGCAACCAAACGCCAGTGATGCCATAGCATCTCTGTGTTTACTTTCACTTGAGGCTCGGCTTATACACGCGTGTACAGAGATCGGAAAACTGATGGATAATTCATGCATACTTGAGCTAAGCATCAGAATGCTTAGAAGTCAGAAAATTATTAAATATTTGTTGCAGTTTTAAAATAAACGTATTGCAACAAGCATAAATAATGTAAATGTGAATTGTTTATTTTTAAAATATTACCCATATTTTGAGCAAACTCTGTTTACTAAAGTCAATACATGAATTTCTGCTCAACTGCCTACATAATTATTCACTTTCCATGTTTTTGTTTTCCTCTGCAGTATTTATCGGTAGCCATTACCTCAAGAGTGGGGGGGGGGAATTCAGCTTCTGTGGCATTTCTCAAAATATCTGCCGAGCTACCTGTCAGTTCCTCACCAAGGTCGTTTTAATTCCCCAGTCGTCAAGAAAGATGTGCATGCACTAAAATATGTCAACACACACACACACCACTTAATGTCCTGTATTTAGCTACATATTCACGGGGCCTTTCGATTTACATAAGCTCATCTCTACTGGCAGTATATTTTACTGACCCCCTCTAAGCCGCACCTTACAGGATACTTGGAATTCTATATGACCGTCACACAACTAAATATTATATATTTGTACCACAGCAGAGATAATTGAGGAGCTATTTCAAGGAAATAGCGGCTCCGGTCTAGGAAATCGAAATTAAGGGACATGGGGATCCGTTGCGCTGACCACGCGACACTCTCTATCCGCTAAAGTTGGTACTAACTTCGCCGTTAAGCGGCGGTCGCTCGGTCGGTATAGTTCTCTTGCAGAATAAATGTCACGGAGTTTTTATTTTGTTTTGTTTTGAACTCCATCATAGTAGTCAGTTTAGTACATATTGCTACAGTTGATACGATAGGAAATTAAACAGCCATATATGAGGTGACTCGGAAGTTCCCATACTAGGTCAAAAAGAAATGTTGGCTTAACTTACTCAATTTTTGATACCATCTCCTTCAAAATAGTCTCCTTGGGAACGTATGCAGAGATACCATTGTTTTTTACACTCTTCAAAAGCGCCGTGGAAGTCATTTTCCTTAATGCTGTCGAGGGCCGCTTGAGATTCCCTTCAGATGCCATACATTGTTCCAAAATTTCGTTCCTTCTCTTTCATTTTCAATTAGGGAAACTAAGCGAAATCGCAGGGGGCTAAGTCCGGCGGTAGGGAGGATGGGGAACGGTAACCATATTGTTTTTAGTCACAAACTCTGTGGTTTTCAGGGACGTGTGGGCAGGGGCGTTGTCGCAATGGAGGAGCAATGCGACGCATGTTCAAATCTTCTGTTAAAATCTCCTGGAAAACTTCATAACTGATCCCAGCGGTGTCTGCGAGCTCTTGGGTCGTTCAGCTACGATCTTCCTGGGTGAGTTCTTGAATTTTTCATAATTTTCTGTCGTTTTGTTGGTGCTTGGTCGCCCTGAACATTCGTATTCTGCAACTGACATTCGTCAACATTAAAACGTGAATGCCATATAAAAACCTCTGTCAGACTTAAAGAATGATCTCCAAAAGCCTCACGAAACATTTCAAGGGTTTTGGTAGCGGATTTACCAAGCTTCACACAAAACTTGATGCAGACACTTTGCTCGATTTTGTCATCCATCGCAGAAAAAGCAAAACACGAAGTTGAAAAAGCACTCATGTAAAACCAATACGTGTACACAGCGCGGTGTCACGTGGCCGAATGATGCAATAGGCTTGGGGAAGTGTGACCTTTGCCTCCCCTCTAATCTTCTTTCACCGAAGCAGTTGCAACAATAAGAATCCAGGAAATTTCCGATGCCACCTCGTCTATTTAAAACAATCAACACATCATATTTCCAATTACATACAAAATCATAGTAATGTGACGTGCCGCCAGGAAGGCCGGATGATAATACGTCCATCACTGTTCAACGGCTAACAATTTCTAGGAAGCAATGCCTAGGAAATCGTTACCCCCGAAATAAAAGTCTAACAGTGGGATTTCCACCGTTATTTATAATGGAATGTATTCCCGCGGCACCAGGAGATTCGTTGCATAGCAGCGGACGAAATTAACCCTTCGACAAGGTGTTCCCTACTCAGTTAGAGTGCAGGATATAACAGTTCGTATTCTGCAAGAGACCAGCAGAGTTCGTATCCGACGAGAGCTAAGGACAGTTGAACTCCGAGCAGAGCGGAAGACACTTCACCGAGATTAGCGGTACGAGAGGGTATAACACGGAAGGGGAAGCGTCCGAAGACGTTATGAATAAAGTAAAAAAAAAAAAGTAAAGCTATCTCCGTGTAACAGGCCATGGAGGCCCATAGGGCTGTGAGACGTTGAGGGTCCCACATTATCTAGATAATCGGCTCATAGATGGCGGTAAGGTTGTCAGCCTTACGCGCCGGCCGCCCTTTACACCCAGGAAAATTCCTGGTACTAATTTCTGTTAGAAGCTGAGTCAACTCCAGGGCCATATTTCGACTGGAAGGATTAGGTCAATTGAAAAATCCAATGACCTCATCGGAAATTGAACCCGCGACCTTCAGGCTTGCAACAAAGTGCCTCAACCAACTACGCTACCGCGTGCCCCCTTCCGAAGACGTTATAAATGTGAATAATTACGTATATTTGTGAGTCTAAAGGATTATCGCCCAATAAACATTCGTCCGAATTCGAGACCCACGTAAATTTTCTTGTCGCGTTACCTAGGAAACACGCGACAGTTTCTCACTTTTCACGTAACAGTATCCATGCACTTAAAAAAAATATTATTGTTCCTCCATCCTCTGCAATTAATATAATTGTTTAAATTCATGGCGCTGTATATTGTTGTAAAAGAGCTTCATAAAAGAGGTTATTCAGTTTGAAGACAGCGCGTGTTGCCCTGTAATTCGAGAACAAGACTGAGGGACGAAGCTCAGCTGACGCACTTGGTTAAGCTGGCTAAGCATAGGAGCCGCTGCCGATAATGGTTTGTCCAGATGACTAAGCGGTCATTATGCTAGGGAGCAGATGCAGTCCCTGTGCTTGTTGCCATGGTGTGATGCGAGTAAGGGGTATATACGAGCAACGTTCCATAGTGAGGCTGGGCAGACAGCATTGTAGCCCGCGAGCCGCTTGCCGTATTCGCTAACCGTCTGGTTAGGGAGCTATGTCGAACCTGCAGCAATTCTGTACGTAAGTACAGTCCAAACCACAACGCAGCAGTTTCCTCCCTGTAAACCAAGTTACGAAGCAATAAAACATCCTACCAGGACAATAGGAGCCCGGATAGCTCAGTCGGTACAGCGCCGGGAGGCCGGGGTTTCATTCCCGATAAGGGCAAGAATAGTTTCCGTTCTCCACATTGTCCATTCCAGCTCTGAGGCCCACCCAGTTCCCTATCCAATGGGTGCCATGGACTATTTCCTCGGGGGTAAAGCGGCCAGAGCGTGAAGCTGTCCACTCAAATCCATGTAGTGCCGAATTATGCAATGGTGAAAGCATACCTCCACCACCGTGTAGTCTTCATGTTTTGGTGCTTAATCAACTGAAGGCATGGAAATTTCTCCATTGTACCTTTACCCACCACGACAATTGCAGCTGCCGAGAAGTCGTGTCCCACTGGAAGTATTCAGAAAGAACTTGTGACTCATCGCCCAGTGTAGAAACAGAAATATGAGCTGAACTGTTTAAAAGTAAAGCGGTTGGAAGTGGAATTTTCTTTTCGGAAGGGTGTGTATGTTTGTACATCTCTCAGACCACCCAGCAGCCCTCTCTTGTTCGTGCTCCCTTCCTAATTTCATTAGCAAAGCATCTTCTTGTCCTCTTCCTCACCCCTGCATTTGAGTGTTTAGATAACATGCCATACACAACTGTAGGAGAAGTTGCCGGGTGAGCGAGGCGACTGAGCTGCACTCTGATAATGGCAACCTGTTGAGAACAAGAATGTGATCCCTGGGGCTAAGCACTACACCAGGGATCGCTGTATTTATCGCTGTTTCATGCCAGATTTACATCAGAAGTCTCTTAAAAATAAGAAACGGTGCATGGCCAGCACGTTCTGTTGGTCTTAATGAGAAGATATTCACGGCTCAAAATAATCGGTAGTACTAAGCATCATTGTGTTCCCATGCAGCAGTCTTCCACTGAACAACCACATCGCTCAGCGTTCTAGATAGATGCAAAACAGCACAAATGTGCGCCATGTTTTACAAGAAAGAAAATGGCTTCGTAAACCACTGAACTAACGAGTTGCTCCAGGAAGAAAGTTGTAATAACCGGAGCCATGTAGTGTATCAATTGATTCTGAAGTTGGCACCGGTGCTAATGCACTAAGCCATAAACTTGTGCAAGGTGAAATGGAATTCCCACCGCAGCGGCCCCGGTTCGATCCCGGGTCTGATCGAGTGGGATTTGTGGTGGACAAAGTGGCGCTGGGGCAGGTTTTCTCCGAGTACTTCGGTTTCCCCTGCCAATCTTCATTCCACCAATTGCTCCACAATCACCCTCACCTATCATCTGGGGCTGGTACAATAGGCCAGAAGTGGCCGCAGTACAAGGGACATAGGCCCACCCCACTAGCAATAAAAAGAAAAGAGAGTACGACGATGCTGCTTCCTTCCCAGTTCTTCTCTTCCCCCTTGATAATCATCTTAATCTGAATAGCGCTTGAGGCAAGACACAGGCCAATGTATGAAACAAGCTTAACACTGCGATCTTAGGGCGGACGTATTCTGGGTTCAAATTCCGATCGGGAAATGGCAGCTAGATATCTTCCGATGGGCTAGCCGCACAGGAAAGAAGCGACACTCGGACGTGACAAGGAAAGGGGAGAAAGAAGAAGGTTAATAATCCAGATGAATGCCATTTCCTTTCTCTTCGCTAATTTATTCACCTCAGAATTTTACCCAGTGAATAAAAAAAGGTAACGTTATCCCTGTAACAGGTCTTGAAGGCCCATAGGCTTGTGAGACGTAGAGGTTCCCACATTTTCTCTAGATGATGGAACTCATAGATGGCGGTAAGGTTGTCAGTCTTACGCGCCGGCCGCCCATTACATGCAGGAAAATTCCTGGTACTCATTAATATTAGAGGCTGAGTCAACCCCAGGGCCATAGTGTAGCTGGTTGGATTAGGTAAATTGAAAAATCCACCTCATCGAAAGTGGACCCATCGACCTTTCGGCTTGTAGCACAATGCCTCAACCAACTACACTACAGCGTGCCCACTTACCCAGTGGATATCTGGAGCACATTTCGTTGTGGTTAGCGATTACAGCCTCGAGCTGACAACTATTGCTGACATTGCTAAGACATAAGTTGTGGAGAATTTTTATTTCCATTTCGCCCTTTTTTTATTGATAGTGGGGTGGGACTAACTCCTTTGTACTGCGGCCACTTCTGGCCTATTATACCAGCCCCAGATGATAGGTGAGGGTGATTGTGGAGAATTTGGTGGAATGAAGATTGGCAGGGGAAACCGAAGTACTCGGAGAAAACCTGCCCCAGCGCCACTTTTCCATCACAAATCCCATTTGACCAGACCCGGGATCGAACCGGGGCCGCTGCGGCGGGAAGCCAGCGACTAACCGCTTGAGCTATGGCGCGGCCTTCGTACTCTTTTACTACAATATTAATAATCGTCAGTTCAGGAAGGGGGGTGTGGACGTCTGACTGGGAACGAAGCGGCATGTTTTGGGGTTACATCTCGGAATTACCTACCACTCGGCGCTACAGCCCTGGGTGAGCCCTGGCCTCCTCTACAACCAGTCTCCACAACCAAAGAGTGCTGCCATAGGAACGGAACCACGCATGATGACCTGAGGCTGGTTGTTAGGTTCCCTGAACAGAATAATTTTGCAGGATGAGGCTGTTAGCCTCATGCCCAACCCCAAACCTGGAGGACCAGGGTATCTCTCTTAGTCTGGACACTACCCTTTGACCTTTCCGGCATGGGTGACACTACTGGTAACTAAACTACCGCTGGTATAGCTGTCCAAGTCGCAGATTCACGCCTGCTCACCACACGGTGGAGACGCCTTTGGGGAAGAAGTCTCGGAATTAGGCCGGGCGAAATGAGGGACTAACTAGAGGAGCTTAATTACCGTGCAGTCTAGTCGCAAGTCATGGCATTGCCACTGTGCAAACGCGTTGTTTCTCTCCTATGAAAGTGAAAAATGGATTGCGAATGGAAGAAGAAGATGAAGACGTAACTACTCGTATTAAAATTCATCTGCGCCTTCTGTCCTATCTCAACAAGAAAGAGAGGCGAAGAGCACCGCCATTGTAGATCGCTTAGTAACAAGAATAATTACAAATGGGGAGGGAGGGGNTTCCACACAGACCTCTGATCTACCAGCGAACACGTGAATTGAAGTGACAACGCGCTTGGCAGGGATGTCGGAACGACCACGT